TGGGTGGGTATCCACCGAGCTCGGGCGGAGTTGGGGGCTGGGGAGGGTGTAAATAAACTGGGAGGGTACTAGAGCGGCTAGGTTTGCGTGTTAGTTACCAAGAATTCGGTATGCAATCCTAGGAGTTGGGGTCGGATAGAAGAGCTGGGATTGGAAAGCCCTCTTTTCTTTTTCCTACACTGATGGAAGGAACAGGACAGGGAGCCTAGGCTGAGGTCGAGTGCTGTGGGTGAGAATCCAGCGTGCCCTGTCCCGAGTTTGGAAGGCACGACCTCTCAATTATAGCCCATCCCAAGCTGAAGCTACCCGGATGAACCAGGGCACCCTCACCCCAATCCCCACCACACCAATTCGCTGGCCGTTGATCAAGGGCAAGGTGGAGAAAGCTGGGTCCGGCCAGGGAATGTGGTGGAGAGAGAGGACCCAAGGGAAGCCCCTGGTAGCAGAATTGACCTCGAGTGCAAGGTCATTGTGTGGCTCTCAGGAAGAATCTAGGGACCTCAGAAAGGACTTCTGGCATAGGAGGGTCATGGGAATCCTGGATACCTATTGCCAGGCTGTCACAGTCAGAGGGGGGTCAAAAGAGTCAATTCAACTCCACTGCATGTAGCTGTGCTGAGTGGGTCAATTCATAGCAGCTCCAGGGGTGAATGGCCAGAGAGTAGAATGGATGGCCCACACAAGCCAGGGAGGGTGTCTGGCTCACCAGGCAGACTTGGCCTCTGACTCAGCCCCAAGGACATCAAGCAGTGAATTTGTCACTCATCCTTCTTCCACCTGTGCAGTGGGTGACTCAGTCTGATTCCCATAGTATGGAGGAGAGACTTTTCTACTTGCTGCTGGAGGGTGGAGCTGGGCTGGTCACCTGGCCCCTGCCCAGGCTGAACTCGGGAGCTGGGTGTGTAGAGCTGATGCCTTGCAGAGCCTGGAGCGGGAGCTGGACAGTCTCAGGCTTGTCATCTCTCCTTTTCCTGGGCATGAGGCATGAGAACTGGGAGGGTGTGGGGCTTGTGCAGGCCAGGCAGATGGAAGTGTCAGGCTCCAGAGACCTTGAGTGACCATCTGAGGAATGAGGCTGGGGCTCCAGATTTGTAAGAATCTCTGCTGGTAGGTAGGAAAGGGCTCCCAAAAGAGTTGAGTAGGTCATTCATTCTGGAATATGCAGACCTGGAGCAGAGCTCGCTGGGGGACAGGGCCAGCTCACCCCCTCCCAGAGGATTTACTCCTCTTCCCTCCCACTAGGCAGCCTATTCTGCTTGATTGGCCTTATTAGTCCTGCCCACAGAGGCCAGGGGAACTGTGTGAGTGCCACAGAGCAACCTCAGAGGGTGTTCTTTCAGCTAGCCGCAAGCCAGTGTTCCCCTGTCTCGCAGCTCCCCATTATTCCCTTGGCACTGGCTTCTGATACAAAGAACAGGGAAGGGAGCCTTGGGATACAGTCAGGGAGGCCTTGCTGGTGTCAGAAGCCCCACCACAGTGCTGAGGCTTCCAAGGCTAGGTTGATTCCAGCCTTGCCTAGGGCCAGCTGTGTAACCCCGGGAAGTCACAGATCCTCTTTGTGCCTCAAAATCCTCTGCAGCCAGTTGCAAAGTCCACTAGGATGTTAGCTCCTGTTGTTACTTGGAGATGTGATTAAATCCTTGCAGACCCCCTGGGTCCTGAGTCCCTCCTAAATGTTGAGCTCATAGCTGAGCTACAGAACTAGCCCTCAGAGAACTGCCAGCCTCACAAGAGGAGAACCATGGGGGCCAAGGACTCATCCAGGGTGTGGACCCTGCATGGGGGTTGTGCTTTCTCCACCCTACATTTCCAGGGTGACTCCTTGGAAAGCAGCAGCCACAGGCCTTTCAGCTTTGAGCCTTAGTACCTAGCCAGCACAGATGGCAGGGACTCATTGAATACATGTAGGATTAAATTGAAGGGAGACCAGTGTTGGGTGTGGAAGGGCAAACCCAGTTTAGAAAGCAAACAGAGGGGACCAGGCAGTGGCAAAACCTGGATAAAAGCTTAGAGGTGGGACTAAATGTGGCATATGTAGTGGTCCTGGTGAATTCTGAGTCAGCAGCTGGAGAGCAGGGCTGGACAGAGAAACAAGCAGGAAGACTGGAGGTGTCCTGAAGGTTGGGAGAAGTGGCCACTGCTCTTTTTCCAGCAAAGACACAGAGAAACAAGTAGTGGAGAGGTTGGGGGTACCTGGCAGGGGCGTGGCCTGGAGGGTCCAAGGGCATGAGATGAAGGAGTTGGGGAGACACCAGAGATGGACGAAGCATGCTAACTCCACAGAGGTCAGAGTAATGAGGGACAGTGAACATGACTTTCCCTAGGTGGAGCGAGAAGGACGCCACCCTCCTGGTGTGGCCCAGGACACAGGAGTGGGAGCCTAAGTCCAGGCACAGAGCAGGAGACTGGAGATTCCGCCTCCATCCCGAGGGAGGGGCAGGAGAGCTGGGAGTGGCATCTATCGGGGAACACCTTTGGGCCGCCATCGGGACGCGGTCAGGGGGTACACCCCGACTCTGCATTCCTCACCCGCAGGATCTTCATCCCCAAGAAGCACCGAGCGCGCTTCGACGAGGTGGTGTCACAGGGCCTGCTGGGCAAGTTGTGCCGCGCCCGCCGGGCGCAGGGCGCGCATCGGCTGCGGCGGAGCCGTAGTGAGGAGC